TGAACCAAAAAACAAACTATCGAGAAAATTGTGTGTTACCTCGTATAATTGACAGATGGGAACTTTCATTTGTAATTTAGAAAGAGATGCTAAAAAGTCAAATAATTTAGCTAGAAACTGCTTAAAAGTCATCGAAATCAGTCCACTTGAACGCAACATATAAAACTTTAAAATACATCAAAATTTTATGCCCGTTTTTCGTGCCGGTGAGTGTAGTTACCAAAATATCGAATTAACCAAATAATGAGTTTTCAAAAAATAACAATAAACAAAACATACTGGTACACTTCTAACCTAACGTAGACAAACCTCATAAATGCTCAACAATAAGAATGATGATTGTCATCACCTAGTTCATATGCAGATATTTATTATCAATTTACTGATAAAATATTTGTCAATATTTTAAACAAAAAAGCTTTGTATATGTATCAAATTGTATTAGTTGGGACTATAGTGCAATCAAAGTTTATCCAGCGAACATACAATCATCATTAAAAATTGATTGAAACAATAAGTGCCAATATCAATAGACTTTGCTATTTTAAACTGAAAAGACTATTATATCATAGAGCGCTATCTTCCGATGCTTTGTTTATCATCACCACCAGGAATCGCTTAGTGCTCATTTGGTTTGCTATTATTCTACGGGGCGTTCAACAATCACTGAAATAGTTGGTTATTCTGATTTTGCTCATTTAGTTGGTAATAAATTTAAGAAATTCGATTATCAGCTGATAGCGCTGTTGTCAAAACAAACCAAAAATAATGTATTATTACATTTTTGACGTTTGAAATTCGTTTTAAATAATATGTGACTAAACAAAAGGAGATAAAAGAAATGCGTGTGCACTATGTGCTCATATTTGAAGTAAAACTTCTTACCAACAGCTATAAAATTGAAGGATTTGAAGAATATATATTTTTTATGAATGCTTTTTATAAACTTCTAAAAAATTAGAGTTAATATACAACCGTACTATACTATTCTAACTTTATAACTTCTTAAAAACTTAACTTAAAAAACGATAATTCTATTACCCTGCCGGATAGCTGTGGCCATTAAACCAAAATACTAGTGTTGGGAAAATTCGAATTAAATAATACGACTAATTCGATAGTAAATTAAAACTAACTAATTCGAATTATCTTTTTCGATATAATCGAGATAAAAATTAGTAGTATTTTATATTATATCTGTGGTAACCGAATTACAAATGAACATAAAACATAACCTCTTATGGACGAATACGAATATTAGTAATTCTTAGTAGTAATTAGTATAGTACTATTAGTAGTATTCTTTCGTTCGGAACGAACTGAAAATTTTCACTTAAACTGATTTATAAAGGGAATCGACAAAGAAAGGAACGATCCGATATAGAAAAATCCAGAAATCATTGTTATTTCCTATACCACGTAGGAATAAACCAGTTTAAGTGAAAATTTTCATTTCGTTCAGAACGAAAGAATACTACTATTATTTGGTTCATTTCCACCTCACCCAAATTTCACTGAACACCTGCCGAACACTAAAATTAATTTTCTTCTTTTATCTAAATAATTATTGATTGCAACTGATAAAATAAAGAGAAATACGAACCGCACGTAAACAAGGACATACTTATATCGTTTTAGAAGAAGCTTTTATTTTAGATATGAGCTTTTCAATAGGAATTGAAACAATCATAAACTCGGCACTTTTAAATTTAAAACTTTAAATTATTGTTTAATTTATTAAACGGCTTCGGCACAGTTAATAGAATACATTGAATAAAGAATATTTTTTTATTTTTTATTCAGTGATAGAATATAGGTATGGCAATGGTTCAGAATTTGTTTAAAATAGCCCCTAGACGAGCACTAACTGAGACGAATTTATTTTTAGGTTAAATTTATAATACTACTAAATAATTCGAATTATTAATTCGATTGTGAAATATGAATTATTACTAATTATTCGATGGTGAAAATAATTCGATTATTCCCATCACTACAAAATACTACTACATCTATATCTCTGACTACTGCTAACTGCCACTAACCAACAATTTGTTGTTTAGTCTGTGGTCTGCTTTTGATCAAATGTTTTTTTCATTATCCATGTTACCGATTTATTTTTAAATTAATGTTAATCGTCGAGGCAAACTCATAGAATATTAGGCCAGTAAACGTAGCCGAGTATTACATGTAAAGGTGGAAAAAATTAGTAACCAACCAATCCCAACGGGAATATGTAGATAATGATCTCCTATTTAATCCGTCAAAAGTCCCATTCGGTCCCAGTGGTTGTTTAAAAAAAACAATTTGAAAAAAACCGCCGCCATCTTGGATTTTTTTTTCCAAATATCTACGTTTGCATAACTTTTTTCGAAAAAACTAAAGATATGTTTTTTATAAAAAATTAAATTTAGAATATCTTACCTTCAATTATTTTTTTTCTGGGACCGAATGGCACTTTTGAGGTTAAATAGGAGATCATTATCTACACATTCCCATTGAGATCGGTTGGTTACTAATTTCTTCCACCTGAACCTCCAGATTGACTGGCCTATATGTATTTCTTTTGCATAGTCAAAATTGTCAATCTAAATTTTACAAAACCAAATTGCCACTTTAAATCGCTGTCTTTTTTAGACAGATGTCATTTGTCTTGTCATTATTCAATTTATTATTCGAATTCTCAGAATGTCGCTAATAAAAAATCATCTTAAAATAAAATTTTAATCAATCACAATTGTTTATCTCCATCATTTACCGAATTAATAATACAGAAATTGCAGCTCAGTTAAAAACAATTCATTATTTATAGTGATTTACAGTAATTTTATTAAATCATACGAATATTCTCGTTGATTATTGGTTTGAAATAAAAAATTGACAGTGTCCCCCAATGAAAATGCGAGTTATTAACTCTAAATTCTAATTCTGAGCTGGCAAATGAGCTAGATGCTTTACCTAGACCGTTATTCAGAAGCTACAAATCTATCGATAAAAATATGCATGAAATCAAGGTTGGTACAGTTTCAAGTTTATTAGTGATTTTCTTAGCTGCGTATGGTACAGATCGTTACCCAGTGTTGCCACAAGCTTATTTTTCATCAAGCTAGAATATCACGAGATAACGGGGTTAAATTGCTTTACAAAGGGTTAAATCTACCCCGAATGGAGTAACTGTGGAAACACTGCCGTTACCACTTTTCCTGACGCTAGCTCCTACTTAAAAAAAAAATATTAATCAATTAGAGTTATGTATATACAGGGTGGTCCGAACTGTATTCCGGAAACTTCAACATATTCTATAGATAAAAATAAGTAAAAAAGTTCGTATAAATATATGTCCTAAAATGCTTAGTTTCGAAAATACAGGGTGTAGAAATTTAATTTTTATTTCGATTTTTTCCAAATAATTTCTGAAGTAACGTCAATATTTAGATGACAATTGGTGTATGGAAGTTTTTTGACATGATAAATTGATTTTGATGTCAATACGACTCCTACTTGAAGAGGGCGCAACCAGCATAATTTTTAACTGGTTTGAAGAGTAATAACTCTTCGCCCGTACCTGTATAAAACTACTGAGTAAAAAATATACATTTACAACGTTTTTTACGTAAAAAGGTCTCTTGGTAAAAATCGCTATGAGTAATAGTTCTCGAGATATTTTGAATCGAAATTATCAATACCTGTCATCATTGAAATTAATAATTATTAATCAAATTAAACATGTTGACTAAATAGTTATTAGACTGAAATCATAAATTTGATATGTTCTTGTGCCAAAAGGTAAAGAGAATCTGTTTTATCATTATTTTTTCCAAGAAAAATTTATGATTCATTTAAAAAAATAAAAGTTCCCAAATTTATAATTTCAGTTAAATAACTACCTACTCTCAACATGTTAATTTTTTGTCAATAATGACATGTATTGACTATTTCTATTCTAAATATCTTGAGAACGGTTGCTCGTAGCAATTTTGACCAAGACACATTTTTTACGTAAAAAATCACGGAAATGTATATTTTTTCACTCAGTAGTTTTATACAGCTACAATCGAAAAGTTATTACTTTTCAAAACAGTTAAAATACATGTAGATGGCGCCCCCTCTACAAATAGGAGTCATATTGACATCAAAATCAAATTTCTCATATCAAAAAACTCACAGACTAACAGACACAATTTTCATCCAAATATTGACGTTACCTCAGAAATTACTTCAAAAAAATCGAAATAAAAATGAAACTTCTACACCCTGTATCTTAGAAACTAAGCATTTTAGGACATACATTTATACGAACTTTTTTACTTATTTTTATTTGCAGAATGTGCTGCCGAAGTTTCCGGAATACAGTTCGGACCACCCTGTATATTATAAAAAAGTTGTCAACAATAAAATTATTTTTAGACTTTTTGACGTAACTACTAATATGCATATCAGATAAAAATGTAGTAATAATGCGAAAGCTTATTGGCACATTTACAAAACGTCTATATTATGTACTTAATGTAAAATACTATTTTAAATCCATCATAAAATAAATTAATCTCTAAAATTATTATTACCGATATCAGCTCAAGGTTCGCTGCATAAACTTTACAAATCTAGCTTAAAGAGATAATCTAATGCAAAAAAAAACTAAATCAAAATAGGGTAAACAGGTCATAAAAAAATTGTGCCTAATTTTTAACACTAATTTACTTCTGTCATTTGACAATTATTAGAATGTGAGAACAAAACCAAAAACTTAAAAGCAGGTGCGTACCTGCTGCGTGGCCATGAAAATGGACATGTTGCAGGGGACTTCAGTTCGCTATATAACAAAATTATCATCAAATTCGAATCACATGGGCCGAGAAGAAAAAAAACTGATTAATTTTTGATAAAGAAAAATTACATTGAGACATTTCAGTTATATAGCTTCACAAAGCAATTAATAGGTCTATTATCGGATCTCAATGTGATCTTACCTTATGTGATTACAGTTAGAGAAAACTTACCTTATCTCCACTGGAGTAAAAAAAGTATTTAAGTTTAACTATATTACAATGTTCTAATTTCCGCATAATCTGTAGTTCTCGGTTCTGAAACAAAAGAAAAATATATTACACAATTTGAAACAGTAATATTTCTTTAATTAGTTATTTAGCACCACTGTTTCCAAATATGTTAAAATATTTGACCGTCAAAATACTAACAAATAGGAAATGTATTTTCCAATTAACAAAGAATCATTCGTCATAAATATCACCCTAGTGTCGGATGCAAAAACCACTAAATTTAAATCAACTAAGTCTAGAACACTTGTAGTCCAGTAAATAAGGACACGAAAAGACCCAAGTCTTGGCGTAATACGTAGACCTTGACTTTTTAGGGGGGAAAATTTAACACAGAGCTTTGGCCGAAAAAATGGACCCAAATGGCCGAAAAATTAGTTTTTTTTTATTTTGAATTTTCGAATGCAAAATGATTTATCGATACTGTATGGTACCAGGTTGCAATAGTACAACATTTTCCACTCATTTAAAATTAGCCTATCGAAGAGAAACAGCAAAAAATCTGGCTCTAGAAAATAGGACGCAAGTTCTTCAAACAACCATATCTATCTTTGTGAAGATCATTTAATGCAAGTATCTGTTTAAATTTGAAAAGCATAGTTAAATTACAAATTTATTTTTTGGTTAGTTGAGAAATACAAATATAAAACAGTAGGAGCATAAGGAATAAGTGTTGAACTAACCTCACTTTTATTTTTACGGAGTTTATAAATAGTACTTTTTTCTAGTTGGAGCAAAATATGGCAAATTATATGGAATAGAAAATGATGTGTGTTCAAAAACGAATGAAAAAGGTGTAGTTCCACATAAATTTTGGCTTGTCACCAAGATAGAAAACAGACTTATCCCCAACCTGCTCGAATGGGTGCTATAAAGGGGGCAAGTCAAAGTGATATTGAAGATGTTTCGTGCGAAGCCAGTACTTCAAAATCTGATTTACCCATAAAACAAGAAGTCCTAGAAGAAATCCTTTATAGGATAGGCATCATAGAAGCAATATTAGAAGTCTAAGAATCCATATCGAAAGAGTTATACGGCGTTTAAGAGTTTGAAGTGTTAAAACATTACGCTTACTTACAATTAGACTATAACTGAAACGTCTAGTTTCAAAACCGGCCATCTCCTTGGGTTAGTTTCAAATTCGGCCATATCCACTATTTAATTTATTTTTTCTTTATTAAAACACAAAACCAGGTGTTTATTTGTTGAAACAATTTGTTAAATTCACCTAACAAACTATTTTAACAAACTTAACTACTGATGGGCCCACTAGATTTCCCACAACAGTTTTTCCTCTCTCCTGCGAAATTTGCTTGGAAGGAGATGGCCGCTTTTGAAACTAGATGATTCAACTATTGCCTGTGGTTTAATGAATACAAAACGACCCTTATAAAGTTGCGAAAAAAGAGCTTTTTTAATTACATTAATAATAAATGTTTATATTTTGTCAAGATACACACACCGAAAAAGTCTAGGAATATTACAATTTTATCCCGCCATCGTCAGTAATTTTATTATTTGCATTTCTGATATAATAAAATTAAAATAAACAAATAGTTTACAGGACGTATTGGAAATAAAAATGCGAAATTTACCGAATTTTTCAAATTTACCTTGATTTTTATTGAACTCAAAAAAATACACACATTTTTTTTTATTCTAAACTGTGAATTAAAAAAAAAGATAAAACCATTTTTACTCAATAAAGGGTATGGCCTCCTCTACTGTTCATGACATCGTCTCTTCATGCTCCTGATAAGGTTGTCGATCTTTTCTTGAGGTACAGCCTGCCACGCTGCATTCACGGCCCGAACCAGATCCCTACGAGTTTCACGAGGCATACCCATTCTAAAAATTCTTCTTTGGACCGCGTCCCATACGTGCTCGATGGGGTTGAGGTCAGAAGATTGTGCCGGCAAGGGTAAGATGTTTAATTGATGAGCATTGATAAACTCACTTACCACTCTGGCTGTATGAGGCCGTGCATTGTCATGCATGAGAATGAAGTTTCTCCCAAAATCATTGGCATATGGTAACACGACAGGCTCAATAATTAAATCACGATATGTGATTCCTGTTAGAAACCTTTCAAGAAAAACGAGATCGGTTTTTCGGCCTAACTGGACTCCGCCCCAGACAATAACTGTTCCACCTTGATAAGGGTGCACTTCCTGAACATGATCCAGCCGAATAAGATTTCCCGGTTCTCTCCATAATAAATACCCTTAAAATACCCTAAGCCTTCTCGAATCCGGATGAATTCCAAAGCGTGACTCATCCGTGAAGAGAACATTGGCCCATTGTTCATTCGACCACTGAACATGATCTTGAGCCCACAAATATCGTACCTCTCGATTTCCTCTCTTTAAGGGTTGAGCTCTCCAGGGGCGTCTGCTTCTTAAGTTGACCTCTCTTAATCTATTGCGAACAGTGTCAGGACTAACGGTTACATTATGTGTTTCCTGGAGAATTAAACTAAGCTCTGGTGCTGTAAGAGTCGGTCGGTGTCGAGCATTTAATTGTAAAAAATGATCTTGCTGAGGGGTAGTAATGCGATGTCGCCCTGTGTGCCTTTCAGCAACATCACCACTTTCACGATAGCGTGCACTTAATCGCGATATTACACTTTGCGTTGTATTTAATGCTCTAGCTACGTCGATTTGGCGCATTCCAGCTTCGAGCATACCCATGGCCCTTAGCATTTCGTCTCTGTTAAGATGTCTACGCTCCATAATGTCGTTTAATACTAAACAGAGTTATTTGAATGAATTCTGGCCAGTTATCACAAAAACATAGCCAGTACAAGTTAAATTCGAACAATTGATGCTAGGTGCTTTTTATACATTTGACAAAAAATGCACAAACACTTCTGCAAATATCCCAAATTTAGAAATAACTAGTGTGACTATTTCGTTTCAATCGAAGTAGAAAGAATCGGCCTACAAATATGTGGTTGTTTATTCAAAACATTTATTTTTAACTTTAATAAAATGATATCCCTAGATTTTTCCGGTGTGTGTATTTACATAGTGTATACCTAGTGTTACCATTTTATTTTGTCCCACTTTTTACTGGCTAGAACTTTTTTAAATAAATAATATGGTTTTAGTCAAGTTTTATTATGTATTAATCAAATTTTATATATGTAAATCAAACAATATGACCAACTGCATGGCTAACTTAAAGCAATAAACATATTAACATTTGTGTATTATTACTAATAATAATTATGAACAACGTAAAATATATAGACTTTGGTAAAATGTCAGTAAAATGATTTAGCGAATAAGCCCGTGGTTACATTGGACCCGGGTCCGTGCGTTTTTTTTAAACGTGCGAGCTCTGACCAAATTTACTCGCACGACTGTTTTATTTTAGTGGTTACATTAGATGCGCGTTCATGGTGTTGAATGGCACAGTCAAACTCAGTGAATCGAAAGAAAACGTATTTATTTATAGCTTCTAATTGGTTTAACAATAAACAATAAGTTCTTCAGACTGTGTTCAGACTACGACTTCTCGCTTTCTTTTTATAATGTTCTTTTTACATCCACAGATTACTAACTACTAATCTGGTTATGCAACCAGTAATTCTTAGTATTGTCATCAACACATGGTGTCCTGTGTGTCGAGTTTGTCAAAACGGACGCCACTACTTTGATGCTGTCTTTGAACCGGTCAAATTTTTTGAATATTTTAGAATGTTTCAAGCACCATTAATATATCTAAAATAAAAATAAACCTGGTATTCAAAAATATTCAAATTTTTAGGGAATGTATTGGGCCCAGAGACATAAAAAATCGAACGCTCGGACGTGCACGTATTAAAAAAACAAACCAGTTTGTTTTCATCCGACCAACGGAAATTGACGTACGTGCACGGACGCGCAAACTCCGATGCAATGTAACCGGCTGCGTAGATACCATTTGTTTGTTTTTTGCTGCGTGCACGTCCGAGCACGTACGGCCAAAAAAACACGCATCCAATGTAACCACGGGCTAAAGTCTGCTGTCTACTCAGGTGCTCGGAAAAAACTGGACTATTCAGGTTATTTTTTTATTTCAACCTTTCTTTCGTGATTTTGAGTTTTACTTAGTTGCACGAGTGAGTTTTGATAAGTGGTTCTTTGGTTTTTTTGTTGCTGAAATTTCCGAATACTTCAGAGAACACCACCATACGATAAATTAAGCGACAAAGAAGATAAATTAAAAGAGCTAGAAGAAGACTAAACCTGAGATAGGACCATGATATTAGGAAATTAGCAGAGATAACATGGGTCCACACAGCCAACAACCGACAAAAATGGGCTCAATTACAAAGAGAGTATCTAAATATGCGAGGGAGACAAAAAAACTATTTTATTTAATTTAACTATTTTTTTCATTTTTTAACTATTTTATTTTATTTTACTATTTTAAAAATAACTATTTTATTTTGTAGATTTTCTTGCAGTGCAGTGGCGAAATACCCATAAAGGATTTTTTTGGAGATGTGAGGGAGGCTACACCATAGTTGGAAATGGTTGAAGAAGCTGATGATGACTAAAAAGCCACTGCCAAGCAGGTTTCTGTTTGGATTCAACGCATTGGTGTTAACAAAAAATAACTTTTTTATTTTGTATATTTCTTTTCCAGTGGTGAAAATATCTAGACTTTTTTCAAGAAGTGAATCTGCCACAAACGTATAGAAATTATTCAAACTCTCAATATTTCGTCAAAACTTGGAGAATTGAACGAAAAAATACGTTCTAACACTTCAGTTTTATTTGTATTCATTATTCAAAATAAAAGTAGAACTAGCTTTCGTTTTCCCTGTCTTTTCACACGTTCATTATTTATTCAGCAACACTGCTTCAGTGAGACTGACAGGTTAGAAACCGCCTCTTCAGGAAGAACATCTTTATTTTCATTGTATCAGAACTAAACATTGAGAAGCACTCTCAAAAAAATACAAGAAGCTAAAAAATAGTTGGAAAAACTCTTTACAAATTTAGACCAGAAAAAAAAACAATTAATAATCGCCATAA